AGATACAACCTAGCTGTGGAGAAGAGGGACAGGATATTTCTCCCTAAAGCTCCATGGTTCTGAGACCCTCCTGGCCCCATGTCACTTTCATCTTTATACATCACTGGCTCCTCTCACTTGGTCTAACTCAAGTTAAAACCAGCGTGGTGGGCCTCAGTACCTGGCAGGCAGGCCTGGAGAAGGGAAGGCCCTTAGGTGGCCTTACTATTCAGGGCTGAGCGTAGTGTGTCTCAGGCAGTGGCGAGAATCAGGGAGAACAAATCCGCACAATGCAAGGGAAAGAATGACAAAGAGGAGTAGTTTCAAAGCACCTGGGATAGAATCGTGGATTGGCTGCCTACTCATTGTGTGACCTTGTGTTACTCTGCCTTGGAGATCTCCGTTTCCTCTCCTGTCAAATGAGAGGCTTGACCCAGATGGCTTCTAAGGTCTCTTCCAACCCTGAGGCTGCAAGTTACTTAAGCCTCTGGGCTTCAGCTGTCAAATGAAGGGGCTAGATTTTCTGACTTTGGAGCTCCCTGCTATCCCTAAATCTATCCTCCAGATGCTATGGAAATGTTGTTGGTGCCACGTGGGTGAACTCTCACCCCACAACCCATTGGGACCTACCTCCTCCAGGTAGCACAAACATCCAGTCATACAGCATATGGCACAATCAACCTAGATGGTATTAAGCTTCATCCAATTCTCTTCTGAACCTGTTTTCCCATGGTTGCTGTTCTCAATTGCCCCTTGCATCATTCCAAGCTGGGCCTGATGCCCATTCTCAGCTACAACCAGCTGGGCTATAGTAGAAAGGATGCTGGATATGGAGTCAGGGAGACCAGGGATCTAGGCCTGACTGCCATTCATTCACCACATGGTCTCAGTTTCCTCATCTCTAAAATGGAAACAACAATATTTCCACTACCTGACTCATAAGGGGTTATAAGGATCAAAAGAGAATGAACGTGGAGTGCTTTGTAAGCTGTTAATCACTAAATAAATTCCAGGCAACACAAATGGTTGGAGAAATTGGCTCCACAGGAACAGGGCTTGGGTCATTTCTGTCTTTGACCCCCTAGTGCAGAACACAGAGCCTAGTACATGGGAGGTGCTTAATAAATGCCTGATGAATGAATGAATGAGTGAATGAATGATATGGAGTTGAGAAATCCAAGTCAAATCATGGCTCTGCCATTTTCTAGCTTAGTAACTATAAGTAGGTCCCCGAATTTCTCTGATATTCGGTTTCTAAACATATGAAATGGGAGTAGTAACACTTGCCCTCTTTATCTCCTGGGGTAGATGGCATCATCACTCCAGATTTGGAGTAGGAAAAGAACTCAGTACTCAACTAATCTAACCACTTTCATTTTCAACTGACCCACCCTATGCCTCAGTTTCCTTCTCTTTAAAAATGAGAGGACTGGACTACTAGATGGCGCCAGAAGTCCCTTTCAGCTCTAGATCTGTGAAGAGGCTATAATAAGAGGTTAAGTGACTTACCCACAGTCACATGGTTAGGAAAGGGCAGAGCCAGGATTTGAACCCAGGACCTCTGATTCCAAATCCAGGGCTCTTTCCTCTGTGATCTGGAAACCTTAAATGCTATGCAAATGTAAGTCATTATCATCAATAACAATGCTCTTAGCTATTCCATTTCAGATGTTTCAAGCTGTGACTAGTGTCTCCTTATTTCATGCTCAAGGCAGAGTGGTACCTCTCACTCTTCAAGGCTGTTCTATTCAATGCCATGCCTTCTCCCCCTAATTAGACCACAAGCTCTCTGAAGACAGGAGCTGTTTGCTTTCATTTTCAAATCCCCAGGGCCTACTTGGGTGTCTTCTGCATTTTCACTTTGGGGTCTGAAACTGTGATTTCTTTAGTTTGGAGAAGTCCTGGTGGGAGAACTCTTTCCATCACACAGATTGGCACCTGTTTTTTAATTTAAGAGGTTTAGACAGTTGTCTGGGGCCCGGAGAGGTTAACTGATTTGTCCAGAGTCACCCAGCCTGGGTATCAAAGCTGAGACTTAAATCCACGGCTTCTCAACTCCAAGGCCAGCCAAGCCTTTATCTAATGTGCCCTCTAGCCTGGCCTGCCTTATACATAGAAGTAATTGATTTATGGCCATTTCGGGTCAAGCCCAGCCCAGTTCCACGCTGAGCTCCCCATCATCCTGGGCAGCTCCCCAAATCCTTGAGGACCTGTTGCCGAAAGGATGCCATGTTAACTGCAGCAGCCGTCCCCAGAAGGCATTCAGCCTTCCTCATCATCTCTGTGCGTCCTCGGGCCAGCTTGGGGCATTCGAGGTGCAGCCTGGGAATTTCCCTTGACCCCAGACATATGCCTCCCCTCATCTGGTGATGGGCCATTAATCTCCTCACCCTTGCCAACAGCACACACCAGCTTTCTCGCTGGTGAAGCCCCAGTCGGGCTGAGGCTCTGAGCACAGGCAAATAAACTCTGGAACTAAGATGAGGTGGATTGAGTGAGTGGAGGAGGAAGCTGGCAGAATCAATGGGGACATTGTAATTGTGATAAGAAGCCCTTCCTCCCTTCTGCTTTTACAAAGTCCATTTCTAGCTTCATTTAATCTTCTCTGCCCTGTAAAGGGAGCCCAGGGCTCTGAGCAGCTGCTGGCACGAGCATTTTAAAGTGTGCCAAACGCCTGACACACTTGGCTTGATTTAATCCCCACGACAACTCTAGGAGTGATGTGGGAATTATCCCCATTTTAGAGGTGGGGAAACTGAGGTTCAGAGAAGGTAAGGAACTTGTCCAAGGTCACACAGCTAGTTAGAGGACCCAGGTCTTCTATTTCTAGGTCCAGTGCTCTTTTCTCTAGCCCACACTGATGCCACACAACCATCATAGACATGGCTCAGTGTGGTGTGCAGAGAACACTAGAGTGGGGAGACAGCTGGCTAAGTTTGAATCCTGGCTCTCCTACCTCCAACCTGATGACCTTGGGCAAGTCACTGAGCGTCTTGGCCTCAGTTTCCTCATCTGTAAAACAAAGGGGTTGGTCTAGCTCTGAGGTCCCTTCCAGCCTGAGAGCTATGATCCAATGAATCACTTAGCCTCCATGGACCTCAGTTTCCCCATCTGTTAAATGGAAGGGCGGAACTAGCTGGTCTCTGAGGTCCCTTCTAGTTTGGGATCTATGAGGTCTTACCCAACCCCTCCTCACCCTAGCCCCTCTTCTCTGTGAATTACTTCCTATTCAACCTGTATATAGCTCACTTAGTATACATTCACTTGTTGTCTCCCCCATTAGATTGTAAGCTCCTTGAGGGCAAGAACTGTTTTTTGCCTTTTTTGTATCCCCAGCGCTTTGCATGGTGCCTGGGACATAGTAGGTGCTTAATAAATGTTTATTGAATCGAATTGTATGATCTTATAAAGCACTTAGCCTCCATGGGCCTCAGTTTCCCCATCTGTTAGATGGAGGCGTTGGATTAGACAGCCTTTGAGATCCCTCCTAGTTTGAGATCTGTGTATGATTAATACCTGGGTTCTGTGTCGTCCTTTATTGGCTCCATTTCCCCTGTGAAGCTCCAGGTTGCTAAGGACGGTGGCTAGCAATATTACACCCACTCTTCAAATTAAGTAACTAAGACCCATGGTGTAATGGATAAAGCCTTGAACCTGGGATCTTAAATCCTGGCTCTGCCCCTCACTCCCCATGCGATCTTGGACAAGTCTCTTAACTGCTATCTGCCTCAGTTTCCTCAACTGTAAAATGGGGATAATAATAGCACCTACTTTGCAGGGTAGTTGGGAAAATCAAACGAGAACATATTTGTTAAGCATTTAGCACAGTGCTTGGCACAAACAATAGGTACTTAATAAATGCTTATTCCCTTCCCCCCCTTCTTCAGCAGAGTGCCAAACACCTAGTAAGCAAACACTTAATGTTGACTGACTAGTTGACTTCCCAAAGAAACTCGAAGGAAAGAAGTAACTCTTCAGCCCTGCCAGAGAAGTCAGGCTATGCCTTGGGGAAGGACAGCTGGAGGCTGCCCCGCCCTCCTCAGAGTAGCCCTCTGAATTTGGGGGCGCCCCCAGCACTGGTGAGACTTGGATCCCAAGGTTGGAGGAACGATCCCCAATCTGTTCACCCAGCGAAGACAGAGGCAGCGATGGCCTGAGCCCCTATATGTTCAGCCCAGAGACCTGGTTAATGAGATGGAGACTGTCCCTTTCTAGACTATGGGCGGGAACTTCTGGGGAGGGTGAATGAAGCAGCCACAGAGAAGAGAGAACCTTGGCCTTTGGGGGTCTGCGGGAAGAGAAAGGGAGCTCAGGGCCACATTGTGGGGGAAGTAGTCAGAGCAGCAGAGGGGCTCTGTGACTATGGGCAAGTCACTTAACCTCAGTTTCCTCATCTGTAAAATAAAGATAATACCTCCTAGGTATTATTTACTGTTCCCAGGAGCATTAAGAAGACCAAATAAGATTAAATAAAGAACTTTGTAAACTTTAGAGTACTATATAAATGCTGGTTATTATTATCATATCACGAGGCTTGTATCTGCTTGGCTCTCCTCGCTCAGAGCTCTCCAAGTAGACTCATTCATTCTAGGGGAACATTGGATATGAGAGAGCCTCTCCTTTCACACCTCCCGTGTCTATAGCTATCGTAAGAGATGAGGAACCCAGCTCCAGGAACAGCTCCCCCTTTCCACTCCACTCCCTGCCCCAACTTCTCAGCTCCCCAACAAAGTTCCTGGCTAGTTATCAGGGCTCCCTCTATCTCCATTACAGCATCAACATGGTCCCCTGTGACGCAGACACACCAGGATTACACGATTAAACTTTCTCTTCATGAGGCTGGGCTTAATGGATCCCCATCTCTGGGGCTGCCCACCTGGGCCCCTACCTATCCACGTCTCACCTAATGGGACGAGGGGAGACAGAGACAAGAAGCTGGGAAGGCTGGCTGTAGGGTGCACAGGAGACATCTTTGCCCCATTCTCCTCTCTTTCCCCAGATGCTGAAACCAAGTCACTTACCTTCATGGTTGGGGGAGCTGTGAGGGGAGGGGACAGGGGCCGGTCTGGGATGGTCACATCTGCGTTGTTGACCAGCTCCTGTTTCCTGAAATGCCAAAACACATACTGGAGTCAGTAGTGGTTTGTTTAAATGTCTCCCTCCCCTCCCTTAGGTAGGGCTGGACAGAATGGCCCCGAAGATGAGGGGGCCAAGAAAAACCATTTGACAGTTCACTGGTCAGGAGAATCTGGAGGGGGGCTAGAGTGGGCTGGGCGACATGTCAGAGAACCAGACCCTGGTGCCCCTGTCCAGGGGGGCAGCAGGCCCTATCCGGGAGCCAGCGCCTACCGGCCTTCGAGGCTGCAGATTAAACTCATCTCAGGTGACTCCCCTGGCAGGATGGGGGAAGAGAGAGGTGGATAAATAGAGTTTTGTTTCCATGGCAACACATTTGCGACAACTTTCCTCCCTCCTCCCCACCCCCAACAACAAACACACACATACACACTCCCCCCTTCCCATCTGGCGCTGCTATTGACCAGAGTATTTGTTCATGAGCCTCCATCCCTGGATTCAGATAGGATGTGTAGCCTGCTTAGGGTGGGATGAACCCACCCCAGTCAGTGGAACACAGGAGAGCTGAGGGGGAGCAGGAGAGGGGCATGGATGGGGACCTGCAGAGAAGCGGGAGAGGGGGGACCAAGGCCCCTCTGGGAGAGCCCAGAGCTGCCACCTGCCCACAGGTGCTTGTGGAATACCCAACACCCCTGCTTTCCCCTCCCAGGAGGAAATAGTGCAGGCTCATAGAACTAGTGCCCAAACAGACCTCAAGTCCAACACTCCCATTTTACAGATGTAGAAACTGAGGCCCGAAGAGGTTCCCTGCCTTTTGCCCAAAAATCACAAAGGAAGTAGGCCTCAGAGGCAGGATTTGAACCCAGGTCCTCTGACTATGATGAGACTTCTGCTGAGGAATGTCGCATACACGACCAGACGTGGTCTGCTGCTGTGTTTGTTGGTTTTGCATAAGGCAACAATGTAAGGCATAGTGAGGAACGACTAAATAACTTGGAGTTAGAGAATGTGAGTTAGAATCCTGACCCTGTATCATTCTGGGCAAGTCGTTTGATCTCTGTGGGCCTCGGGTTATCAGTAAAACCAGGGCGCTCAGTTAGAGGCACATACTGACTTCTCTTCATGTTGTCTCCCCCCAGAAGGCCACCAGGGCCTTGAGAGCCAAGTCTGGTTCGGCCTTCCTTTGTCTTGCCAAAACTTAGTACAGCTCCTGACACATAGTAAGTGCTTTATAATTGAGTGATGAATATTATAATATATGTATATATAACTTAGATAACATACATGATGTATGATATAACAATATATATAATATAACTTAGAAAGACTTCAGAAATTTGATCAGTGCGAGGATAAATCAAGACCCAAGAGGGCCGAAGATGAAATCCACCACCCACCTCTTGACAGGCAGAGATGCAGAACAAGGCCAGAATCTTTGGACCAGGCCAGTGTGAGAACATTTTCCTCAACTCTGCATATGTGTTATGAGGTTTTCATTTTTTTTAATTGTTCAATTAGGGTGGGGGCAGAAGAGGGAGGGAGAGATAATAAATGATTGTAAATAAATAGGTAAATTTTAACCCAAACAGATGGTTGCTGACGAGCTGACCCTTAGGTTCTGTCCAGTTCCAGATTTAAGGACCTATGAACTGTTTTTCTACGAGATGGGCAGGCTCACTGGCCATGGCAGCGGTGGGGAGATTGGGGTGGGATGTGGGGTTGTTATTCAGATATCTCGGTGATTTACCTGAAACCCCCATGCCCTCATAAGTAGAAACAATACTCTTAGCCTAGCCATATTCTTTCCTTATTAGAAAGCTGAGCGCATGGTAGTGCTTGCGGGGGGGGGGGGGGGGGGGG